CAATAGATGGTGTGGCAATTAACTCCCTTTCCCCCCTGTAGCCTTTCCTAAAGGAGGCTGGGTATTCCCAGCAGCCAGCAGTTCAGCCTGGGCCAGAAAGAGGCAACATCTTGGGGAGAGGCCTATATAGACTTTGCTGTGTTAAGGCCTGCCTTGAATTATTGCAGGTAAATCCTGGAGCCAACTGAGAAGAGCTGCAGCATCCCAAGTACAGCCTGGGAACCTCATATGCTGTTCCAGTATCTGTGAGCTTACAACATATGGACCTACAATATATGTATTATTTATGTGCTTAGTAATTTTTCTGTTCTGTGCATCTTTGTGGATGCTGAAGATATCTGTACTCAGTAATATCCTGAAGATTCATTGCTATGAAGTAATAGCAACCAACCAGGAGTGAATGAGGATTTATATGAAAACCTCCATGCTTTGTTTATATAAAGAGTTTATTTTAAATGTTAAAGTGCATTGGTTGTATTGCCTCTCTTATGTCTGTGTTTAAGTACATGCGTGGTAACAGCAGTTACATATTCTTAATAACCATAGGAGGGAGTTCCCGCTGTCAAAACTGACTGAACCTGCCCACTCTCTCTGCAGATATTAGGACCTTAGTGGGTTACAGATGGATAACATTTCTCTTCTTGTTTATTAGATGTTGTTGAAAGATACTGTATACAACTAACAAGTAATACAGGATGTACAAAATATATAAAACTCAATAAAAATGCTATTTAAAAAATAAAAATAAAATAGATTTAACATTTCCCGACTCTGCACCCTTTGCATGCGCGCGCGTCCTATTCCATCCACTCATGTCCGCTTCAGTTTTCTTACTGGACTCTGTTCCCCCAACTCTACCTGGCACATGCGCATATCTCCCCTCCCCTCTCCATTTCCTTCCTTTTCTAACCCAGCACATCAAGGGTTACAATAACGTTCCCGTCCTTCCCTTCGCTTCCGCTTTGCGCCTTCTCGCCACGCCCCTCTCCGAACTCTGTCGAGCCAATGGAGGCGCTCGCCGGAAGGGTATCGCCTGCGTCCTAGGCCGGCCTCTGGTTCAGACGCGCGGTCGGACGGCGGCAGCTGCAGCAGCGCTACCATGAGCGGGATGTCGGCCGAGCAGCTTTTGCAGCAGCGGCTCCTCCGTAGCCGTCTGCGGAGCGCGGCGCAACATCTGGGCGGCGGCCCGCCGCCTCAGCCGATGCTGCCGCCGCTCTCCCCGCCTTCCCCTCCCGACTCCCCTCCTCCAGGGACGACACCGGCCGAAATCCCCGCCGGGCCGCGCTGCCCGAGCGAGACGTGGTGCTCTCTGTGCCGCGTGTATTGCCCGGAGCCCGTGTGCCTGCCTTGCGGGCACAACTTTTGCACGGGCTGCATCGGGCAGCGCCTCGGAGAGCCCAAGATCAACATTTCCTGTCTCGAGTGCGGCGCCACGGCCCGCAAGCGGAATCTCCGGCCTATCAAGCCGCCGCCGTTGCTGGGCAGCCTCGGGGTGGACCGAGCCAAGCGGCAGAGGCTGGACTCGACGGGAGGAGTCGGTGGAGTAGCAGCAGCAGCAGCGCCGGCCGTAGTCCCGCCGCCGCCGGTAGCGCCGCCGGTAGCGCCACCGGCAGCAAGTGGAGCAGCCCCGGTAGCGGTGGTAGCAGCAGCAGCAGCAACCACCACCGCAGCAGCAGCGCCACCGCCGCCGCCTCTCCCGCTGCTGTCTTTAGCCCCGACCCCGCCGACGCCTCCCACGCCGAAGCCCCCATCGCCGCCTCCCTCCCCAGCACCAGCGGCGGCGAAAAGGACACCAGCGCCCCTGCTGTTGTCGCCGACTTCGACGGTAGGTGCAGGAGATGCGAGCGGAGGGCGGCTGTGCGATAAGCACCGGGAGGTGCTCCAGTTTTTCTGCGAGGAGGACGAAGCCCCGATCTGCGCCCATTGCGACAGGTCCCAGGAACACCGAGCTCACTCCATCTTCCACGTCGAGAGAGCAGCCCGAGACTACAGGGTAAGGAGGTCAGCCCAGGCTCCCAGTGCAATCTTAAGCAAAGTTTATTATTGCTTATTTAGAACACTTGTCCTGTTGCTCGTCTAAGGAGTTCTGGGCGGTTCAGGTTGATCTTTCCTACTGCATTTTATCTGCAGAACAACCCTGTTAAGGTAGGTTTGACTAAAAGAAAATGACTACCCCCAAGTTCACCCAAGCAAACTTCATGGCTGAATAGGGATTTGAATCTAGATTGTCCAGGTTCTGATCTGATACTTTAGTCACTACACTTCAGTAGACTTCAGTAGACTTAGGTGTGTGCGCTAAGGATGGCACTGTCAGTTACCTGTCTACCTTTTTGCCACCTTTGTGTTGAGCTGTTAGTGGCATGCTGGGCCTCATCTTCTCACAACAGCTTCCCCACTTAAGATCTCTATGTCAACAAACTGCTTAGGTGTCCTTCTGCGAGGCTCAACAGGCATATAAGGTAGGATAGGTGGCAAGAGTGGGTGTGAGTTCCCAAGATCAGTGAGCTTCGTGGCAGAGTGGGGATTGCAGCCCAGGCCAACTTTCTACACCAGACTGGCTTTTCCACATAGGACAATCTAGGAAGTGAAACATTAAGATAGTACAGCATCCAGTCATGAGTGGATCCATTTTGTATCACCTTTTTGGCCAAGAACTAGTGACGCAGCCAAGGGACTGATTCGAGAATCCGGTTTAACCCACCACCACCTTCCAATCTTCTCTAGCCCCAGTTAAATAGCTGGCATTAGGCAAATCATTCTGCCTCAGTCCCCTTGTCTGTAATAGTAGTGGCTTTTATGAGATGTTTGTTTATTGGATTTTTATCCCGCCCTCCCCCACAAGCAGGCTCAGGGTGGGTTACAACAGGGAATAAAAACCGTTAAAAAAATTTCCACGTACTTACAATTAAAACCTATAAGATCCAATTAACATTGCACATGACGGCAAGCAAACAGTTTCAGAGAGCTCCCAGGTTCTTGTTTTATATGTGCCTAAAAAGGACCAGTGTACTGAGCAAGTGGAGGACAGCCGCCACCAATGGCAGAAGTTGACATAGTGCACAACAAAGGGGCAGGTTGGGGGGGGACAGATGTAATTGGACACCCACTGGCTCAACCAAAGGGCTGGCGGAGCACCTCCATTTTGCAGGCCCTTGGGAGAGTCTTTCACCAGGCCGGAGCATTATAAGAGTTAAAGCACCTTCTTTACATATTAGAGCTTCATATTGACAGTGAGGAAGCCAACAGTGGCAAGAAAACACCATCTGTTCTCTGGATGTTTACTTACACATAGTTCCAGAGGTACCTTTGAGCCCTTACTTTATGTGAGTGTTCTTGTCTGAATGGTCACAGATGGTAAAGAAGTGTGTTTCTTGAATGTACAGTTTCATTAGAGGACAAATGCAGAAAGCACTTCATTGTGTGTATCTGCCATGTTGATTACCGATCAATCTGCTTCCTGCAAACAAATTTCAGGAATGAAGGTTTTCAGCAAGAAGGTAGAAGTGCTATGGAGTCATTGGGAACAGAGGCTTTTCCACGTTTTGTGCAATAAACGTATAACTGTTGCTAACTGGATGGGTGAAGTTGAACATAACAGTTGTGTGATTCATTGTAAAAAAATCAAGCAGTGATCATTGATTTCAATGTATTTAACTTTCAAATGAATGTGATTAAAATCACACTAGCAATCTGATAGTTTAATGCAAACTGGAAATGTAAAACTTCTGGAAATTTGAAAGAACAGGGAAGAACACTTTTGTTTCTGGTAAAAAAAACACCATAGAAATTGGGGGGGGGATGTAATATATGCAATACTTTCCCTATCAAACCTAAACTTATAATACCATACTGATTTAACATCATGAATGCATTTTTTGTAATTTAGTACAATTTTACATGCAAACTATTTGGCATATTTATGGAATTAAAAGCATGAATGTCTTGGTTTTCTATAAGAAAAATTACAAACATGCCTAGTTCTTGAGAGGGCTGCAAACTGGTGTACCCTAAACTACCTTAACACTTGCATCTTAATTTTTGCTGTGAGACAGCAAAAAAATTGAGGGTAAAACATATTCTGAAGTGGACAAAAAGTATAGCTTGGATAGAAACATCCCCTACAATCACAAAATGTTAGACTACGAGCATATTTGGATATCCAGTTAAATTCTGTAACGTTGAAAATATTACACTTTAAAATAATGTATTGACATTACACATAGCATATTGTTGCCTACATTGTTTATACTTCAGCACAAACACTGAAAATATTGTATGTGTCTACATAACACAAGGAATGATTATGCAACGTGTAACTAAGTATATAGCACATATTTTGAATAAAACTTTCTTTTCACTCATTTCAGAAGAGAAAAAAAGGAGAGGGTTTTAATGTGTGTGTGGGGGGGTTTACTGTTCCTCAAATTTTCTTGATTTTCCATTGGGAAAAATTGATAAGTCCTCAGATCTTTCCATGCTATGCATTTTGAGTGAGAAAAACATTTCCTTAAGAAGCAAAAGAGAAAACGGTTCATAGGAGGTTCCCTCCAGCATTTCCCCAAGTTTCATAATGTTTCTGTTGGGGGGGGAAATGTCCTAGGGGGATTCCCCCCCTCCCCGGTTCTCACATCTCCAAATCCTAGGGGGAGGTCACTGTGCTACGAAGGGTGTAATTCTGTTTAGAATTCCACTCTCAGTTGCTGGTTAGTTCTGGCATTTCCTCAAGTTTGTTTGCACTTCTCTCCCATTTTCCCTCCAACACAGAACTTGAGGAGATATAGATGAGTTCCCAGGAGGTCTCCCATCCAAACTCTGAGCAAGACCTGACATAGATTCAATAAAGTGGCTGTATCGTATACACTTAGATCAGAGCTAGACAGTCTTTCAATGCACTTTCCAACTGGATTTTGCTTGTTTACACAGTGAAAATCCAGTTGAAAAGTGCACTGCAGTCTTTTTGGCCCAAGTACCAGAGCTCCACAGTGTCTACCTGGGAAGTTGTTAGTGTGCCTGGAAACAAAAGATGGGAGAGATGAGGGTTGTACCTGGCTGAGCACATAGGAAGGTAGCCACATCACAGCAACACTACCAGTGGCAGTGGTACACCCCTTTGGCAGAGGACTGCCTCTGCGTGCCAAAGGAAATGGTTCAGCACCTGTGCTGGGGGTTGTGCTGAGACATGGATTCCTAAATTTGTCCTAAAACTGGCATGTTCAAGCTTATCTACTCCACAAACAATGTCTAGGTGGATAGCCTTAGTATAGAAGAGAAGTACTTTCTTTTTTACTGCTCAGTTTAAAGTACTGTTTCACAGCATCAGTGTAAACACATTAAAAGATCCCCCTCTTCTGAGACTGGCTTCCTCTGACTAAAAAATACTCAAGTACTGCTTACATGAGCTGCTTCAGATTCTTTCAAGTAGACTGCTTTGGCCCTGCAGTAACACTCTGGTTTCTTTTGTGTCTTGAGTGAAAATGGAATTAGTTCTTGCTAGGCTTTTCTTGGGATAAGGGTCAAAAGACAGTTGTTCATCCATGGCTTGATGGAAGATGTACCTTCCATCCCTCCCAGGAAAGGTCTAATACCATGATATGGAGAGAGAGAAATGGGAGGTTGGATGTGCAGTCTAAATTCTATAGGCTACCAAACCAATGGACAATGCCACAGGGCTGGATGGCCACTTCAGGGCACCTAGCAACTCCTAAAGGAATGTTAAATTGACAGATATACATTGGCCCCGGTCACACGGAGCATTAGGCACGCTAGAGAGACGGAAGATAGGCGGATTTTCCGGGCGCTATCTCACCGCCACATCTGGGAAGCGTAGAGCTCCCGTGGCTCACCCGAGGCTTCACTCCGAAGATGTGCTGTAAAAAACTAGTACCTCCGAGGTACTAATTTCCAGAAACCGTGGGGCAAGTGCGGGCGTCAGATCATATTTCCGGTGCTATAGACTCAACCCTCCAAAACAGCCATTTTATCCTGGGGAACTGATCTCTGTCGCCTGGACAACAGTTGTAATTCTGGGTGATCTCCAGTCCTCACCTGGAGGCTGGCAATGGTGGTTCTCGTGGAGGAAATGGCTGGAGGGTAGAGTCTATGACATTACACCAGTCCAAAGTTCCTCCCCTCCTCAAATCCCACCCTCTCCAGGCTCCACCCCTCAAATATCCACGAATTTCTCAATCTGGAGTTGGCAACCCTATTTCCTTCCCACCCATCAGCCAACCAACCTACCTTTATCTGCCTCTCTGTCTTCTGCTTTCCATCTCCACCCCCCAGCCTCTACCTAGGAAAATTACAGTCTTTCTCCACAGTGGGGACCAAAGCAGCTTTCATTATTCCCCCCTCCTTTTTATCTGTGCAACAACCTGTGAGGTTGGTTAGGCTGAAATATGTGACTGGTCCAAAATCACGCAGTCAGCTTCCACTGCAAAATGGGGATTGGAGGGTGGACTCTGTGGCATTATACCCAGCTGAGGCCTCTCCCTTCCGAAACCCAGCACTCCTTAGAGTCTACCACAAAATCTCTAGAAATCCCCCAGCCTGGCACTGGCAACTCTTGTGAGGCCTGGTCCCAAGGCTCCCTCCCTCCCTCCCTCCCTGAAAGGCCAAAATAGGCCTGGAAAGGGCCCTTCCCCCACCCTTTTACTGACAGAGCCAGTTAGAAGCCTTCCCCCCCCTCCCGAACATTCTAATCTCTCACCGTTGATGCCTGAAGCATATCCCTGCAGAGGCCATTTCAAAAGGTTTTTTTGGGGGGGATTCAGCCGTTCCTGAAGGGATTTTTTTAGTTTTAGGATTTTTCTACAAACCCAGGAAGTCTACTGACTATGTAGGAAAAGCTGTTGGGGGAGAATGAGCCCCCTGTTGGTGGAAATAAGTATCCGCACAGAAAAAACCTCTGGCTAATAGAATAAGGATGATTGGAATCTAGGTCTCCCCTGTTCAAGCCTGATGTCCTAACTGCTACATTACATGGTTTCTCATCCAGACGGAACAGAGTTCAGGCAATCTTGAAAGCTTGCTTATTGTTTTATGTTGTTTCAGTTAATCCTAATAAAGGTACTACCCTACTGTTACTTTCAAGCAAGTTCCAGTTATTTGAGCACCTGAGTTTGATACTTCTTCCTTCCTCCTCTGTTATTTATCATATTGAGTAAAGAGGAGACATCTTTTTGGTCAATACACTTTTAAATCCAGCAGATCACATGTTTTTCTGCAAACTGCTTTCTTTCATTTGCTCCGGCCTTGAATTCAACTCATATTGCCACAAGTTATTCCATCATCTTCTCACTTTTTCCAGCCAGTTCAAAAACATACGCAGCCTTTTTGTGCTTCCTTCTCCAACTGCTGTGTTGCAATAGAAAATACTATGCCCTGTAATAAACACAGTGCTGCAGACACCAACTATACCTGTCTAGCCTATTCAGGTCCTGTAGGAAGGAAGAATGGCAGATTGCCTTAAAAATAAAAAGAACAACAGGCCAGCACGCTGACCCATCAGTTGAACTTGAGGCTTTCTCTCTCTGCTTCTAATACCTGAAAGCCAAGAACTGCCATTGCATAGGGGTATGTTTTTTTTAAATTGAGGTATTTATCCTGCTTCCATATAATTCAAACAATATATAACATAATATATATTACATACAATACATTGCATTTTTCTTCCCCTGTTCCCTTTTCCCCTCCCCACTCCCTCAAAAGACCAGCAATAATTCCTTATTTTATAACTTTAACCATAACCACACCTTTTGGAGTTTAACCAGTATATCATTACCCCCCACACACACACTTTTACCCATCTTATATACTCTAACCGTCTCTTCTTACCTTTCTCAATCTTGTCCTCACCTGACTCTTCCTGTTGTAATATCGTTAATATATCCGACTGTATCCATTCATATAAATAACCATTCCATCTGTCTATAGTCCATTTTGTAACATCTTTCCAACCAAGCACTATAACCACATGTGCAGCTAAAATCATAGCTTTAAATAGATCCTGGTATGATTTTTCTATTTTGCAGTTCCCTAAAATTCCCATAAATAATACTTTCCCTGATAACTCCACTTTAACCTTGCAAACTTCCTCCACCTTTTCAGTATCTTTTGCCAAAATTTAACCACCTTAGAACACTCCCACCAAAGATGTACATAATATCCCTTTTGCTTTTTACAATGCCAACAATCGGATGTCAATCCTTTGATCGTATAAGACAGTTGACCAGGCGTTCTATACCATTTCAAAACTAATTTCGTCTCCATTTCTCTGAATTTTTCCATTTTTATATCACTAATACCGCTCATCATTTTATTTATATCGTTTTCTGATAAAGTTACATCTTTCTCCCATTGTGACTGTATTACTCCAATCATATAATTTTTATCTTCAATCAGTCCGCTATATATCTTTCTTACAATATCCTTTTTATTATCCTCTTTAATTCTATACGATTCTTCCATTGGGGTGTCCTCGTTTAATATTCCAACATACTTTGTTTGTTTCAAGGTATTATATAAACTAATAACCCTCAACCAGTATTGTTCTCCCCAGGGGTCGTTTCGTAGAAAAAGAGCTAGGGGAACTCATTAGCATAACTCATTAGCATATGCCACACCCCCTGATATCACCGGAAGTGTGTCATAAGGCCACACCCCCTGACATCACCGGAAGTGTGTCATAAGGCCACACACCCCACCCCCAACGGTCCCGGCCGCCACCGCCGGCCTTGCAGCTCCACTGCCGAGCCCCATGAGGGGCCCGGCGGTGGACCTGCAAGGCCAGCGGGAGTGCAAGGAAGCCCCACGAAGGCCTTCCCTGGCCCCAGGCAGGCAGGGGTGGGGAGAGGCAGGGAGGAAGCAACTTACCCTCCCTCTTCTCCTGCCTCCTCCTGGCTGAATGAGGGCCGGAAGCGGGGCGGCCGGAAGCAGGGGCCGAGGTTTCGTCATGTGCCCCGCCCCCCGTACCTCACCTGGGGGAACTGCGATCCCCCGCGATCCCCCCGAAATGACCTCTGGTTCTCCCACTCTTCCCCTTACTTCTTGCAACTGAATTAAACTCCCTTGAGCGTTATACATATTTTTCACTTTCCATACGTCCTTTCTCCTTAGCTCTTCCCAAAAAGTTTCCTCAAAATTTTAAAATTCCTCATTTAGTGATTCAAGTGGCGCCCACTTTGAAAGAAGAGGCATCCATTTAAACTGTTTCCCCCCCACACCATATTTTTAATGCTGTCTGTCTTGGCCCTATTGTATTCTCGATCTCTTTTTTTTTACCAAACTCTCCTTTCCCTCCATTTATACTATCTTCCCATCGGACCCATTTATCCTTACTTTTACCATCCATTTCCAGCAACATTTTTATTTGAAAAGCTTCATAATATCCTTCCAGTTGTGGCATACCCCAGCCTAGATGTTCCTTTGATGAATATATCACTTTCCTTGGTATTCTAGCTTGTTTCTTTCCAAAAACCCAATTTTTAAATTCCTCACCCCACAATGTTAACTGCTTCTTAGGTACCCATTCTGGAAGTACCTGAAACAAATACAATAACGTAGGTATTATAAACATTTTAAGTGCCCAAATCTTCCCTAATATACTCAAATACTTATTATTCCATTGATTTATATTTTTTGTATCTTCTTCCATATTATTTTATAATTTATCCCCATCAAATTCTTAACATTCCTTGTTATTATTACTCCCAAATATTTCAATTTCTTATTTCCTAGCTTCATACCTGTTAACTTTGCTATTTCTTTTTGTTCCTTTATATCTATCTTACTAAACATTATTTCTGACTTCCTAATATTTACACCCAAACCTGAACATGCTTTAAAGTCATCTAAAATTATAGGGGTATGTGTCACCCTGACCTTTGTATGACCTCAGTAAAAGCTGTATATATTTCTGTATCGCTAATCATAAGGCATATAAATATACAGTTTGGTAATCCAAGCCTTTAAAATCCCAAATTCTTTTCTTTCTTTTTTTATGGTGCAGATTTCTCATTCGTACAGCTAGTGGTTGTGATCATTGAGGCCCTGCCTTTCTAGAGGTGACCACCTGAAAATAAATTGCATGGTTGAAACTGCCCAGTTTGCCTGAAATTAGTACATATCCTGTCACTCTCTAGCCCTTCCTTCAACTTAGGTGGCTCTTCCTCTGACAGAAAAGCCACGGATGCTGGAAGAAGGGTTTAAATGTTGCTGAGCAAAGTGGAGTGCCGGCCTGTTGGTATCTGTTCATGAAGTTGGATCATTTCATTAATCAGGACTTTTAGAAAGGGGAAATTTTCTGCCTATTGTCCCTTGCACATGTCTGAAGAGGTAAATAAGGAAATGTGCTGTGAAAGCCCTAGGCTTGGGTCTTGTATTTTCCACTTCCAAAGTGCTGTCCTCCATTGTGGAGCATGTTCCTCCAGGACTAGGCACTCCCTACTCACTCCAGACCAGCGTCTTGTATGAGGAGAAAGTGCCCAGTGCCAGAAGGAAGTACTCCGCAATGGGGGGACAGTGCTGCGTAAGCAGAAGAAATGCCTAAGATAGGCGTTGATCTGTTTTTTTGGTCTCTAGGACCTGCCTTCCCAAAATTCGAAGAGAAGGGTGGGATACTGGTCCCAGAAACCTCTCTGAACTATACCGGCACATCTGTGCCTCAAGTTTTAAAGAGCTTTTTCTTGCTTTTGAACCCATTCTCCTTCTTCCATCCATCTAAAGCCATTTTTGTTTGCTCAGGAGCAGGTTCAGACACAACTAGAGAATCTGAAGCAGGAGAAGAACTTGCTGTGGAATCAGAAGCTGAGTGAAGAGAAGAAAATCGAGGAGTACTTGGTAAGCGCTGGGTGCCGTTCATTCATCAGAAACCGGGACGTGAGGGTTTTCCTGCCTCAACAAAGGCCCTCAGTCTTGCCACCGCCTCTTATCCAAAGAGAAGAGTGTTGGGAGAAAAATCACTTTCCTTCCCGTAAACTTTTATTTTGAAAGTTCTGTGCGTTTGATCAGTGTATTGTGTGTGAAGGAGACACACAGTTGTGTGTGCTGCTTTTTCTTCTTAACAGCATGTTGTGTATCCATCTAGTGAACAGTTTACATGAATATTCTGATTCCTTCCTGTGCGTTCTGTGGCTGGGGCTTCCACTTAGGAAGGGTGGGATGCTGGTCCCAGAAAGCAGCCCATTGGGAGGCGCTCTGTTTTCTGTCTCTGTTTTTCTTCTTGGCCGGCTGGCCACTTTGCGAGGTCCAGGGGATGAAGATGCTAGCCAGCCTCAGAACTGTGCCCTGCAATGCCTCCAGTGATGTGGCTAGGATGAAGAGGGGATAAAGGGGAGGGAGGCAATGCAGACTTACCTTGTGTTTGCGTCTAGATGGGTCACTTCTTCGGCTCATCTTGATTCTGCTCTCCTTTTTGAAGTCTACTCTGGTTGTATGCTTCCTGCCTCTGTGCTGTCACTTGCAGGGGTCTCATGATGCAGTCCTCCCTGTCTACGTGACTGTGCTCTTCAGGTTGCAGTGACATCCTGTCTCATGTGCACAAACGGGGTTCTCTGACTCCCTCCTTGCCTCTTATCTGCAATTGTTATACAGGACAAGGCCCAAGCCGAGAGACAGGAGATTATATCTGAATTCGAGCGCCTGCGCCAGTTTCTGAAAGATCAGGAACAACAGCTCCTAACCCGTCTGGAGGAATTAGATAAAGAGATAGAGAAGCGGAAAGAAGAAAGCATCGCCAGGTTCTCGGAAGAGCTTTCCCGTCTTGGTGAACTGATCACTGAGATGGAGGTGAAAAGTAAGCAGCCAGCAAGTGAATTTTTGCAGGTGAGACTTTGCTATAAGCGCATCTCTTCTTTTCCTGAGCTTGAGCCACGGCGGTGGGTTACGGGCTCCAGGCCGTGGAGCTCCAGAGAGCCCTCAGGTATTTGACGATTGGGGCTGATAGTCCTTTGGCAACACGCTTGATTGGTCAAGGCCGAGCTTAGACCTTTTCCCCACTGGAACTGGTAAAACAATCATTCTGTGTGCAGGATGGTGGCAGAGGAGCCGCTGTTCCGGGGGGCACTGGTGCGTGGGCTGTAGGTTGGCATCTGTGCAACCCGCCTCCCCAGTCAACTACCCATTATGCTTCCCTGCTGACATTGGCCCTGCAGGCTGTGAGACATCTTGGGCCTGTCCAGTGGAATGGGGGCTCCACTGCCCAGAGTATTCTCTTCCCATAAGGCGGAACGGTTACATTCCAAATGACCAAGTCCTCTTTAGCTGAGCCTGTCCTTCTGTGGCTTGCCCTTGGAGTCTTGCAAGGGACAGCTGGAAGTCTGCAGCTCCCCCCGTTGTGGAATGCTATGACACCATAGCACTCTGCTGTTGGCAGATGTACTTCCAGGTCCTTCAGCCTGACCTGAAGGCTGTTGAGAAGCTGGCCTGGATGATCCCATTCCTTCAGGTTCATGCCGGGACACGTCGGGTATGGCTGCCGGGCAGACCTCTAGTACGTACAGTCATGTTAATCTGGGTATTTTTTTCTTCTCTTAAGGGTGTTTTTGGGTACTCAGGGTGCTGCTGTGGTTATGGGGCTGGATTTGGCGTCTCATCCTTCTTAAAGATCAGTGTTTGGAATAAAGCTTGATGACTGCATGCTTCGAAGGAAAAGCAAAAGTAGCTTTTTTGTGGCAAACTAATGGGGTGAGGGGGGATTTTTTTTTAAAGGAACGAAAAGGGGGTGTTTGTGGGGTGTCTGTTCCCGCAAAAAAAGCCTGCATTTTCTGGGATCTCCTTAGGGTCCTCCTGTGGTCCACTCCGTGGTGAACATCATTTCTAACTGTTCCAAGGATGTACGGCTGGTTTGTTTGTTTCTTAAAAAAAACAAAAAAACCCTCAAGCAGCACCTCCTGCACACTTGATCTCTTGGCACAGAATCTTTTTTTTAATTATTTTGCTACCAGCTCTCTGATCACAAGCAACAAGGACACAAGATTTTAGGTAACCTGTGACATGCAGAGAGCCTCTTGGAGGCCCTACAGGTGACGGTGAAGAGACACACAGTGTTCCTGGGAATGGGGAGAGGGGGGGGCCTCCTCCCGGGCCCCAGGCTCTTGGAAGCAGGCCGCATTTGCCTCTGGGCTGAAGTAAGGGGCGCCTGCTCCTTGGCTGTGAAGTGGTGTGCCTACTGGACGGCTCGCTTAGTGGCCACATGCGGGTGGCACAGTCGAGCGCAGGAGCTGGTGGCTCCAGACAAGAACGTGGCCAGTGGGCAGGCCCCGGAGGGAGGGGCCGAGAGCCAGCCTGTTCACTGGCGGGAATGGTGGGAGGACCTGTCTGGAGAGGAGAAGGCTGCTAAAAAGAGCTAGGGGCAGCCCTTCTTCTCAGAGAAACAGTTGCACCGCCAGGGAGACCACCGTGGCCAGAAGGCTCCCGTGTGTAACCGGAGCACCCCCCCACCTCTTGTCTTGGAGCGAACACCCAGATGTTCCACCTCTAGGATGACAGGTAAGAGCCTGAGGGTGACTGGGGGGGGCAGGCGACTCCTCCCCTGCCTGTTAAGCACCAGAGGCTAAAATGAAGCTTCCACCCTTCACACCTTGTTGATAGTCTACTCAGAGTCCTCTGCAGCCTGACCTGGGGGCGTGGAGGCATGCTCCCCTTTAGCCTGTGAAACATGACTCTTGCAAAGCATTATGTGACTCAGCTGTTTTTCCTTCTCTCTTTTTCTCTTTTAGGACATAAAAAAACTCCTGAGCAGGTATGTGGTCCTCTGCCACCCCACCCCCCCTGGCATTTATTTTCCTTGTCCTCTGGCTGTCCATGGTTTGCAATTCTAGAGAAGTTGAGGCCTTGCCTTGGTCATCACCAAAGCTACCAAAGTAGAAAATGTAGAGGACTTATTTCTTCATATTAGCATACTATCAAAGCCTTCTGAAGTATTGTTGCCAGTCCCTCTTGGAGGAACACATGCAGCCCAAATGGTTACTGTGCTGTTTCCAGAAAAACAGTACACATTGCTAAGTATTTTTCCTCTGCATGTTCTTCTCAGATGGCTTATCAAGTAAAACTGCCTCTGCCACAGCCAGGGCTGGCTCAAATGTGTGTCGATGCCTGAGGCAGAAAATCCAAAATGGACTCCCCCTACCAATATTCATTTACATGGAGCACAGTCCACCAGTGCAAATAACGTGATGAGCCGTGCCACAGTGTGTCTTTTTCCATTGCGCTTGTGCAGGATGACATTCGCAACAGACCATGATCCGTAAGCCGAATAGGCCTGTCTATCTCTGAGAGTTACCTGAAACTCAGAAGGGGTGTATGTTTTTCTCTTTGGCAGATGTGCGACAGGGCAGTTTCAGCTTCCTGAAGAAGCCTCTCCTAACTTGGAAGAGAGACTGGGTGACTTCTCTCAGAAAAGTACAGCTCTGAAGAAAACTTTGGATAGATTTCAAGGTACTGAAACTGGTTAGCTGAGCTCCTGTGTGAAAATAAGGCATATTCAAACAAAACTGGGCAAATACTTAGTGACAAAAAACTGGAGTTATGAAAAGAGCTTAGCCATGTGTACTGAAACCTAGCCCCAAGAAAGAAAAGTCCTCGTGTTACTTCCACGACATAAATGGGGCTGGCTGAGATGAATGAAGTGCATGAGAAAGAAAGGTCTTGGGGCATTCTCTGTTAATTGGACTTGTTGTTTCTTTAATTCATTGTACCCCACCTTTCTCCCCAATGGAGAACCAAAGCAGCTCATATTATTCTCCTTTCCTCCATTTTATCCTCACAAAAACCCAGTGAGGTGGGTTAGGCTGAGAGAGTGTGATTGGCCCAAGGTCATGAGTGGGGATTTTGTCCTGGTGGTCCATGCCGAAAGCAAAAAACAATGACTAAAAAGGCTTACCTTGAGCTAAATGGGTTTATATCGAAGCCCAGAAATCCCACACGCTTAAAAAGAAACACTATTTAGTGAAGAAAATCAAAACGGTACCGAAAACAAAAAAACAATGACTAAAGACGCTTAACTTGAGCTAAATGGGTTTATATTGAAGCCCAGAAATCCCACATGCTTAAAAATAAACACTATTTAGTGAAGAAAATCAAAACGGATAAAAAGAAATGGTTAAAAAAAACCCCACTTGTGGCCACCAGGAGGAGTCCTGGATACAGGAATGTGGCTACAAGAAGGCATGGGCAAGACACGAGCATTGAAAAGATAACCTTTCATGCAGTCATTTGCTGAATGCAGAGTTCTAACTTTTCTTTAGGAGAAGTGCAGTATGATGGAAGGAACAGGCTAAATACAGCTGGGAACATTTATCAGAAAAGCAGGCAATAAAATGGTTAGTCATCCTAAGCCATCTTTCCCCCTCCTGGTTAAAGCTAAATTCCCTACATTTATTCCAAGGATGAAGCTGCTTTTGCAGTTACCTATCGGAAGGCTCTGGAACCAGACGGCCAACAAGGACATTCAGTTCTTGCTTTCTTCCAACTTGCTAGGCCTTCACTCCTTGTTCTGGACTTTTACCTTGATCAAGGGTAGTAATAAAGTGATATCCCACTCCTCTGTGATAGGAAAGAAGGGTGTAGGCGTAGTTTTCCACATTGTTTTCAAGGAGTCAAAGTCTGTATGCTCATAACATCCTCCATGTTGCCCCAGAATGTCCTGTGGGTTGGATCCAGACAGCTTTTTAATCAATTTCACCCAATTGTGCTTTTGGCAAATACCATCCCACGTAGCATTTATATGCACAGGTCTCATGGATCCCCCACCCCCCAGGACTTTTTAAATGGTCATACAGGGACCACTGCTTTTTCTCACCAGCATATAAACTGGCTGGATCCAACCAACTGTCTTTACCTGTATAGCTTGACTTGTTTCCTTGGGGCCATTGCAGTTGTGCCACATCTGACTTTTCTTGCTTCAGACTGTTGCTTGTGTCAGCCTGATATCCAGGCCTTGTTTTGCTTTTTTACTGCATTCACCAATAGGATTCTGGGTTCTTCGGCTACCATGTTCCTGTGCAAGAGTATTGGCAAGGGGTACTATGCATATGGTTCTGGAGGTCCCACTTATGTATGGGCTTTCTCTGTGTGGATCAGTTGTGGACAACATGCATTCTGAGAGATCCAGAGTGTTTAGGCCTTACGTGCAACCACGGCAGCTCTTTGCAGCTTGTCTTTCAGCATACGTTTAACAGAATGTCAGCTCAGCAGCACCTATCTCTTTGCCATGGTTGGTTGGTTGCTTTTGCTCTTGCTTCATGAAAGTACTTGAACCTTCACCTTCAGTCTAGGTGGTTTGGAATCTTATGGTCCCAACACAACACACTGGGGAGGTGGGCCCATTCTAGACTTTCCTGGAGGCTTACTCATAAAAATCCATTTTTAAAAGGCAGGGTTTGGGTGGAGGAAATCCCAAAACTCTATTAGGTGGATATTTTGATTTGGGGAACATCTCAGAATGTCAACAATGGTTTTGATGTTCATCAGCACTTCTGAGCCATTTCTGGCAGAATGGCCTACACAGTTAAGATTTTTTCATGAAATCCACTTTGTTAACAGATGTTGGCCAAACTCAGAGTTCTTCAGGCTTCTCCTGGCAGGACTCCTCAGCGTTAGCAGGGCTACGTTCACATTCATTTGTCTGTTTCTCTAGATCATGTGATTGCTGCTGTGGAGAAGGCGGAGATTGCAAAAACTGTGAACGATAAAGGTGGGGTTTGTGCTGTTGTTTCTCTTGAATTTGCAAGCATTGCTGTGTTGAGTTCATGGTTTCATTTTATAGACACATGTAATGTGTTGTTGAGACTGAAGTTTGGATCTTAAGGCGCTCTATTGGTGGTAGTGCAGCCATTCCTCTGATAGTATGGTTCTTCTATCTGCAGAGGAGGGGAGTGAGCTTTTTAATGATTTCCCACCTCCTGGTGCAAATTCCCAGTTTGCTTCCCACATTGTTCCTTTGGGTCCACTGAGTTGGAGGAGCACACGTAGGGGCATAGGAGGCTGTGAGGTTACCTTCCTCTAGCACAACACCGCTGGTACTGCTGAAGTTTGAAGCAGATTTTGTAAAAGCTGGGATGACCTCAAATACCATCTAACACTGTTCACTGTTAATCTAGTGCAGATACAGCTGGGTCAGAAGCAATGTTCCCTCTAAGCTGTGGAGTCTTGTGAGCAAAAATTCTACTTTGTGAGCTGCTGGCATTAAAGCTGTGAGCGAGCAATTCGGCTGCTGCATAAATTAGTTTGCTCTGGAGCCCTCCTTCCTGAGCGGAGACAAAAAGGTGTGAGCCGGAGGCTAAAACACTGTGGGCTAGCTCACCCTAACTCAGCTTAGAGGGAACACTGGTCAGAAGTGTGTGAATTCTTCACAAATAGTGCTTGCAGCTTCTGTTTTTTTTTTCTCCCTTAACCATGAGGGCTCAGAACCGTTTCCAGTAATTTATATCAAAGCTAAAACCATACTATCAGAGGAATGGCTGCACTACCACCAATAGAGCGCCTTAAGATCCAATACATTGTACACCTGGAATACGGTAAGCAGATATTTGATTGAGCAATCCCCCCCCCCCGGGTTAACTGACTTTTCTTTTTGCTTGCAGCAGATGTGATTCTTAATCCAGATGTTTCAAGTGCTCTTCTGTCTTTGGACCAAAGAAGCATGGGATATGAAGGGCCCCAGCACAAGCTGCCTGCCTTACAATACGTTCCTGACACCCCCAAGAGATTGGATTCCAGGGCTTTGGTTCTGGGCTGTGATGGTTTTACCTCTGGGAGATATTTCTGGGAGTTGGAAGTGGGTGATGGGGACTTCTGGGCTGTAGGGGTCACCCGTGATCCATCGGGAAAGAAGGGGATGATGAACTGTAGCCCAGAGGATGGGATTTGGGCCGTGGGGTTGTGGAAGGGCCAACACTGGGCGCTCACGTCACCCGTGACTGCCCTATCCTTGTGCAGCCGCCCCAAGAGGATCAGAGTGTCCCTCGACTATGTAGGCGAGTGTGTGACCTTTACCGACGGTGACACGGAGGACCTGATCTTCACATTCCCACCAGCCTCTTTCAATGGGACACGTACCCATCCTTTACTGTGGGTGGTGGGGTTCCCAGCTCAGACTGTGTTTCTGAGGCGTATGGGGGTAAAATATCCAACTGGAGTTCACGAAATGGACATCTTGAGTCCCTAACATTTAAAAAAAAATTATTTCCATGGGTCCAGTGTAGGAAATGAATCTCCGTCCTGCCAAAGTACAGAAGTGAGCAGTTTGGGAGTCATGTATTGGAAAGTCTTTTTTAAACCTTTGCCCGACCTGTTGGAGAACACAATGAAGGAGGTAGAACCTGCCATCCTTGCACCCCAAGGCCTTACGAGATTACCATCAGGCAACAACACAAGAACTGGGAGAATTAGATTTTAGGCCTTTCAATGTAATAAGCACTGTTTAGAACATCCATCTTTATTAAAAAGGGATCTTCATCCCTTTCTAGTAGTAGGCTAAAACTTCTTTTTCTTTGGTTTGGAAACAAAATTAGCTATTAAAATTGAAATTTTAATCTGCGTTTTTGATCAGTTTGATTCTTTTTAATGACTGCATGCATTTGAGCTTTAATACCTTGAGGTTTACGGTCCACCGAGAGGGAGGGCCCCCAGACTGGCACTTAATGAAGAAAGCCTTCCGAGTTTCATGTGGGCAGCACCCCTAGCACAGGTGATCATCCTGAGTCCCCAGTTCCCCAGATACTCTGAATATGGCCATTCTTGTCTGTGTGTAGCTTCCTCTGCCAATCACTAGGACTCACACAGCTTCATCTCCTCACCTGCACGGGTCCATTTTGGTCCTGAAGTTCACTCTTCCTTTGTGTTGGTACTGGAGAAGGAAGGGCCGAATCACTGAGCCATAGTCTTAAAAGTGGGCATTCTTGAAGGCAAAAAAAGAAAAAAAGGAGGAGCATCAGATGACGTCAACAAGCCTGTGTGAAGAACCCTCTGAAGAAATCGTTGACATGGCTATTCGCTACAAAAACTGTATGACACTTCCAAATGGTCTGGTTGTGAAGTCTCCCCCCCCACCCCTTACTGAGTACCATCCCTCTAAGAATGTGTTGTGGTGCTTTGCTGGGTGTTGCATGTTTTTAGCGTGAGTGCGAGTGAGTGTCCCAAGAGTGCCATGCCTGTTTTTTTTTTTGTATATTACGTACAAAATAAATCCTGCCTTTAATAAAGTTACCTTTCCGCTAACAGGAAAGTGTGTGTAAAATGATCCAAATAATTGAATGTGTATGTGATGACTATTAGTAAACTAGCGGCTTTCGTTAGATTAACCGAGGGCTGTTTGGAGGAAGGAGACATGCCATAGGGGTGGTGCCCGTTCCTTGTTGAGAGCCTGCTCACCAGTCACTTCTGCTGCCCTTATTCTGCCACCCCTTTTGCGCTTCGATCCGCTGCAGCATTTCCATGGATCAAAGGAAGTCCACTCATGGAATGTGACTTTCTTTTGCCCTTCTGCTGCAGACCAAAATGACCCCTTATTGGGCGTCCCCTGTCCCCCCCAGGAGAAGCATTTGACCTGGAATGGGATGAGGGGAGTCACATTCCAGTGGATCATAGGTAAACTGTCCTGAGCCACCAGGTAAACCGTGTGAATGGGAAACTGAATTGGAAGGGAAGCAATAGTTTTGTGGGGGAGAGGCCCACTCCCTCAGTATTGAGCTGAATGGATGGGTGACTAAAACATCCCTAGTGAGCCTACAGTTTTTTTGGTACTGCTTAGCCATGCAGTGAAACCGTTCACTGCACCTGCGTGGAGGAGGAGGGGGGAGCACTTGGTAAAAGTTGGCTAGTTACTGTGACCAAAGAGGAAGAGTAGGTTTTTATACCCACTTTTCTCTACCTTAAGGAATCTTTGAGTGGCTCAAAATCACCTTCCCTTCTCCCCACAACAGACAGTGAGGTGGGTGGTGCTGAGAGAGTTCTGAGAGAACCATGACTGGCCCAAGGTCACCCAGCAGGTTTCATGTGAAGGTGCAGGAAAATCAAACTCAGTTGTCTGGACTAGAGTCCACGGCTCTTAACCACTACACCACGCTAGCTCTCCCAATGCGGACAAGTAACTGATTTAGCACCTCGGCAATTTCCAACATTTCTTTCACAGACATAGCTGACAGGACTCTAGCAAGAACAAATGGACGTCCAGAGTTATCAAGCACACACTTCCTGATACCTTAGTTGTAAGCTGCCTTGAGTGGAGAGGCAGCATTTAAAATTTCTGGATAAATTATTGAAAGCTTATGAGTTTAGGACATGAAGCTTCCTGGTACTGAATCGGACCCTTGGTCCCTCACAATCAGTACTGTCTACTCAGACTGGCAGTGGCTCTCAGCAGGTTTCAGAGAGAGGTCCTTCACGCCACCTTCTGTCAGGTTCTTTAACTTGAGATTGAACCTGGGACCACCTGCATGCCAAGCAGATGTTCTGCCACTGAGCCACAGTCCCTCCCAGTAAGGGAACTGCTGATTTGACCTCCAGGTAGGCAAAGCTGCCGCCAGCCCAACAAAGGTCTTTGAGTATGGACTTTCTTACTCCTGCCATGGATTCCAAGAAGTCAGTGTCAATACACTGGAGGATCAGGATCTGCCTGGCTAGTGTTGCTCAGCTGAAGGAGGAACCAGAGACAGACATCTGTCTACAATGTGGAGGGGAAAAATCCCTGAAGAGAAAATATTCCACATGAAAAACAGGAGGGGTGTTAGAAATAGCCAAACAGATGAAGCTTCTATTGCTCTCTCTGGCTTAGGTGGTTTTTCCAAACATGGACAGCTTCCCAGCAAAGGTTCATCCTCTTAGAGTTTGTGGAATACAAAAACTGGCTGAGCCAGGCAGAGACCAGTGCTCACTCATAGGTGTGATGTTGATTGCAAGGCCAGTAAGGTGGGGAGAGGTAGGTTGCTGGGCCTCAAATTTAAACAATTTTGTTTTGACATATGATGGGTTTTGCAGGTTGTTTCTATTTGCATCATATGGCATGTTAAATTTGTATAGTGGCTATGGGCCTGAAAAGCTAGAATAGTCCTGGGCCTCTGGACAGCAAAGAGCCTGGATGATTGTAGATTTGTGATAAAATGTACAAAAAAAGGAGAGGCACTGTGGCAAGCAGAAACCTGGGGGAGTAGAGCAAGTGAATTCTGCAACAGGGAAATGACTAAGCTAGATTTCTCCTACTTGCAAGAATATTCATGCAGGGAGCACTGAAAAAGTGTATTTCCCCTAGGGTTGCCAACTCCCAGTTGGGAATTTTCTGGAGATTTCAGGATGGAGACCAGGGTGGGTGAAGTTTTTTGGGGGGAGGGGAACGTAATGGAGGCCACCATCCAAACCTGCCAGTTTCTCCAGGGAAACTGACAGCTGTAGTCTGGAGGTAACTTGTGATACTGGGAGGTCTCCAGGGCCCACCTGGAGGTTGGGAACCCTGAGTCCCTTAATTCTGCTGTATGCTATAAACCTCGGACAGTTTGGCTTTAAAATAGGGATTGGAGTTGGAGATTGTGTTCAAGCCTTTTTAGTTTGTGTCTGTCTTCAGCCTACGTTCAACTGTAGAAAAGACTGGCTCATCGCCTTTGAAGGAATACTTGGCGGGGTCTCCACGAAGGCGTGTCTGGCAGTCTTGGGGGGAAAACTTCCTGTTCGTCGGAAAAATTTTGAAACTCAGGAAAACGAAACTTATCCACTGGTTTCTGCGCAGACAGCCATGGCTACGGCTAGCCCAGCAAAACGGCTTCAAAATGAGCTTTCTTGCTCCCTCTGCAACGATTATTTCATGGAGCCGGTGTGCATACACTGCGGGCACAGTTTTTGCCAGGCTTGTATCACTCGTTTCTGGGGGGAGCAGGAGACCGATTTCTGCTGTCCTCAATGCGGAGAAGAATCACTGACCAGAGAGTTAAGACCCAACAAGGAACTAGGAGTCATCGTCGCGGCAATAGCCAAGCAGATGAAATTCGAGATCATCGAAAGTGCCGGCGGGGAGAAAATGTGCGGGGTGCACCAGAAACCACTGACGTTCTTCTGCAAAGATGAAGGAAAGCTGATGTGTCCTAGCTACGCCGGAGCCGAGGAATGCGCGACCCGTATTTTAGTATCTGCGGAGGAGGCTGCAGAAGATTACAAAGTAAGGCATTTCTAATGACAGAGACTTCTAATGACTTCATTGCCCTGCAGTTTTTCGTACTTGAGTGGGACTAATAGGCTTGGCAGGGGCGGGGCTGCCGGGTTTGATGCCAAGCAAGGACCCTTTGCAAGGATTTGGGGAGCCTCGCTCAGCTCGCCACACAAGTTTTAAAGGGGGGGGGGCGCCGAGGCGCGTTAAAGTCTTCCTGATCGCCGGTAAGGACGGATGAAATCGCCACAAATCTACCCGAAGTGGCTGTTTCACTTCGACTCATGGATCAGCTGATTCATTCCTGGAAATACTCCAACTCAACCCCCTTTTCCTTACTTGGCATGGCCTCCTATCCCAGTTGAAGGAAAAAAGATTAAAATGGCAGGGGGAAGGGGGGGATTAGTGGAGTGAATTAGTAGAGTAAAAAGTGCTGCTCAATAATTTTGTTCTGAGCAGCCTGTTTCACACAGCTGAGCTGACCGGGCTATTTACTCACGAGTAAGAGTGAAAATTATACATTATATACAACATAACTTCCCCCCCCTCCCGAAAGAGGGGTAACGTCCCCCTTCCCCCGCTCTCTGGGTACAAGACGGCAATTCCGTCACCTTTGAACTCCCCTGGATTTGTGAACCTGAAAAGAGAGATCTTCCACTGTCATTGGTGAACTGACCATACCTTTTGATGGATCAGAGAAATAAGAAAGAAATTTACAGACAGTGTGCTCCCCAGGGGCATCATTTTGGTGGGAGTGGGAAGTGTGCTCCAGTGCCTCCACCCTGAATTTCAAACTGACATGATTATCCCCCCAGAAGCACATCTCTTCTGTCAACTCACTGGTTTTATGTATTGAATGAGTATTGTGATATACAAGAAGCCAGGCAGCTTATTGTAGCAGCCCTAATAGTCTAGACTAGTCCAATCTTGTCAGAATTTAGAAGCTCAGCAGGGTTGGTACTTGGATGGCAGACCAGTAGGGTTGCTAACCACCGGGTGGTGGCTGGAGATCTCTTGGGGTTACAACAACTGCTCTCCAGGCAACAAAGATCAGTTCACCTGGAGAAAATAACTGCTTTGGAAGGTGAACTCTGTATTTTGCAACCCTACAGACCACCAAGGAAGACTTAGGAGGGCAATGTCACAACCACCTCTGTTTATCTCATCTTGAAAACCCCATGAGGTGGAACTCGCAGGGCTCTTTTTGTAGCAGGAACAGACCACCAAGGAAGACTGGGGTGCTGTGCTTAGGAGGGCAATGGCACAACCACCTCTGTTTATCTCGTCTTGAAACCCCCATGAGGTGGAGCTTCATGGGGTCACTATGAGTCGGTTGTGACTGGAAGGCATACTTTGCCTTTAGGCATTTTATTAGGGAGACATGTTAAAGGGACTAGTTCCTTCTTTGTCTCTCCTTAAAATTTAGTTGTAAAAAACTATTCAAGACTATACCTTTGAACCTTTTAAAATCTCACTCCCCCCAACACTCAAATATATATTTTCCTCTCTCACCTTTCTGCTACCTAAAATAATATGAAATACTTCCCAAGGAGTCCTGCTATCCCCTCCCCAAAGATTAAAATTTAGTGCCATATCTGCATGAATGCTCTAGTTGGTCATAATTCCTACAAAACTGCAGAAGAAGAGTGACACAAATGACTCAACACTTCGTAGAGTTATGTTGAAGTGATCACTTCGTAGAGTGATGTTGAAGCCAGTCTCACTCTTTAAATACCATTATCTCCTGACAAGACACTAAACAGAATTTTTCCCCTCAGCAAAAACTGCAGATCCACTTGCAAGCACTGATGGAAGAGAGAAAAAAGGCCCTGGATTTTCAAACAAAGGAAGAGAAGAGAAACAAGGAGTTTCTGGTGGGTATTGTTCAAGTATTTCAGATGTGTAATATATGGCTCTTCTGTTAAACACAAGGAATGATTTGAGGGCACTGAGTCTATGGGACCATTGTGTGGTCAGTTGCTAAATGAATGTTTTTCCACACACTGACCAAGAAGTGTCAAACTAGGACCTGGGAGGTCCAGGTTCCACTCCATGAAGCACACTAGATGACTCTGGGCCAGTCACTCTGCCACAGGTTAACCTACCTCATAGGGTGGTTGTGTGATAAAATGGAGAAGGAATGTGTGTTGCTTTGAATTCTTTAGATGAAGGTGAGATGTCTAGATAGAAGCACAGCCAGCAGCCATTTCATCCCATTGACATAGCTTAGGGTGGAACACGAGAGAGAGAGATACTGGCCTTCTGTGATCTCAAGCAAAGTCACACTTTGCCAGGGAAATGATGTGTTGGATCCAACCCCAAAATTCTGCAGTCAGCTATATAACTTACATATACCTCCTGAATCGTTGGTTGTACTCATTGGAAGACTCTTTTTCTTCTGCCAAATGCCACCACTTTTTATTTACAGGAAAAGTTAGAAGGTGAGAAACAAAAGATTGTGTCCAAATTTGAGGAGCTGCAAAGATTTCTGAAACAACAAAAGGAAGGTTTGCTAGACCAGTTGGATGAGCTTGCGAAGAAGCAAGAAAAAATTGCTACCAGGCTCTCCAGTGAGATCTGTGTTTATGACACACTCATCCATGAGGTGGAAAAGAAGTGTAAGCAGCCAGCAAGTGTGTTTCTCCAGGTGAGATCTTGGGAACCTAAGCCTTGAATAGACACACACGCACACACACACATGACAGCTGCCCTGTCAGGCTCAAAATGAGAGGGTAAAAGAGACTATCATGACTAGCTGGGATCAGAGAAGGGAGTGCAGATTACCACTCCTCAAACCAAGCTTATTTAGGCGGGAAAACCTGGGGGGGGGGCTTTGTGTCAACTGTAATATTCCACCTGTCAAACTTTGGTCAGGGTATATGAATCCCCAAACTTAACTTTAATTTTTGCTCTTACCTTTAGGATGTTGGTGAAACTTTGAGCAGGTTGGTCACTTCTGCTTTATCTTCTTTGTTTGCCACTGAAACAGAATCTCAATACATGTAACGTTTTCCACTGAAACAGAATCTCAATACATGTAACTGCTTCTGCTTATATTAGTTCTGTGTTAATTTGATCTTTCCAGTCCCTTTGTTGTTTCTCCCACAAACTTTAGATTATAAACTCCTGGAGAGAAATTCTGCTAACTTGTGTGACGTTTAAAATAATTGTGTGACTTTTAAAAAAGATGCTTGTGTTACCCTGTAGTACACCATGTAATCTTGTTATGCTGTCTAAAAATAACACCATCACAGTTCAATATCTGTGTAGAAGTTGCATACAGCTGACACTTAAGATGCTTGAAAAATAATTGATACCTTCCTATTCGGTTGTCCTTTTGCAAAAGCCTCAGGCACTCCAGAGAGGGCAGACCTGTAAAGCGTAGGAAAAACTCCCAACACTATCACTGTGCAACTTTTCAACTTCACTTTCATAAATATTTTAGAGATGTCATAAATGCCTTGGTGGAACAAATCAAAGGTCTACCATTCTGTCTCCATTTGGGGTCAGAATGAAGGGAAAACTTCTTAAAAGCCAAAGCCGTTTGACAATGAAAACAACTGTTTAGATGTGGTGTGGCTGCATCGTCATCAGCATGCCCTGCACAGCTCCTAGGCTGTGCTGCCTCCACTGGGCACAGCCCCCTGATCCTGCCACTGGGGTGCCCAGCATAGCTCCCAGGCTCTAACAATGGTAGGTGCATTCTCTGCACTTGCGCTGAGATCACTATTTTACTTGAGGGGGGTGATTTAACACACGTGTGTGTGTTATCTTTAAGATTTCAGATTTTTCTGCAAACCTGCGGGATCACTCAAGTTTGCCAAAAAAATCTGTTTATTGCAAATGTGGCCCTGATCCATGGACTTAGGTATCCGCAGATAGAGGGAACACTTGGGAAACAGAATATAGATTCCTGGCAGGATGGTCTTAAAGGATGTGATGGAATTTAGAGATACTGCCAGTCTGCAAGGTATGCTGAGCCTAAGTTGTTTAGGGCCTTGGAGATCATTACCAAAGTGATGTAGTGGTTAGAGTGCCAGACCAGAATCTGGGACACGCAGGTTTGAATCCCTGCTCAGCCATAGAAACTCTCTTTCTCGGCCTAATCTACCTCACAGGTTTGTTGGAGGGGAGAATGATGATTTTAACACACTTTGGTTCCCATTGAGGAGAAAAGTGGGATAGAAATAAAATCTTGGGCTGAGTCCAGAAGATTACAAGGAGGCTGGTCCTCCTAACAGCCTATCTCCCATCAGAAGATGGACTGCAGTATTTTGCGCCAGCTAAAGCTTCTGCACTGCTACAGTTGGTATTATCCATGGATTGATATCAGTGTTGCTTACTTGCTTTTAGACCACTTATCCTGGGTCCACTTTCTCCATGACCCTCACTTGTTGAACAGTGCAGATTGGGAGGTTAGCACAAGAAATGCAAGGTATAGGCAGGTCCCTTGCTTGGGTATACAGCATCCAAACCCACAGAATACTATCCTACAAGTTGTTAGATACAAGCCTTTTTCTATCAACCACAATTTAAATTTAAGAAGTCCTCCTTTCTTTAGATGCAAGATATGGGAATTTCAGCAACCACTGGATATTTCTCCTGAGCTGGAAGAGAAGCTTTGTGCCATCTCCAAAAACTACCTTATTATGCAGGCAACAATGGAAGAATTCAAAGGTACTGGTAACCACCACCCCACATTTATACAAATGGGAATCTATTTATATTTGCAGATGGGATTTTCATGTTAGAATTCCAGTTTCTGTAATCCTAGTCATGTTACATTGCTTATTAGATATTTTGTCCTATTGAGCGCATTGACTTGTCTCTGTATTTCACTTTGAGTTTCAGTGAGAAAGGCAGACTAAATCACAGAACCAAATTACCCTTTTGAGAGACTGGGAGAATCTTGGTGGATGGAGCATTAAAGAGGAAAGGGGGAAGAGGTTGGAAACAATCCTCCTGAATCTGTTGTTGTTCAGTCGCACAGTCGAGTCTGACTCTTTGCGACCCCATGGACCAGATCACGCCAGGCCCTCCTGTCTTCCGCCGTCCTCTGAAGTTTGCTCAATTTCATGTTCGTTGCATCTATGACACTGTCTAACCTGAATCTACTGAATTCAAAATAAATTTTGGCTTGAAAGGAAGGGGGGGAAGATTCTAAGTCTATTAGAGGAGATGGACAGCTGTGGTCACTCTCCTGTGTCTTGAATGACATTCAACACTAGATGCCTCTGCATCTGAGAAGAGGGATCAGGATTGCAACCACTGGGGCAAAAACAATAGGATGGGAAACTTTAAAAACCCCTCCAACAATGCGAGGCCCATAATCCTAATTGCCTCTCTATAGCCGCTATTGATTACAAATAGACAGGATATCTCCTCTAGTTGTATTGTACCATCAGGTTTTGAAATGGATTACATTGAAATTTCCACCCCTCTTCTGATGAGTCAGAAAACTCCACCACCACCCCCTTTGAATTCTCAAATCCTGGAGGGTTTTTTCATGTCACCTGTTCCTTTAATGCTCTATACACCGGTCTAGGCTCTTAGACTCTTAAGGATTGATTTGTTTCCTTCAGTTGTTCTGCTGGTACATTGCACAGTTACAAGGAGAAATCAATTGAGTGATAATTTGCAAACCTGCTGGTGGCTGGGAGGAAACACTTCAGTCCTATTACAGTGACTGGGACTTGCTCCTCAGTAGGCATGGTATGCATCTCTTTCTTGTGTGGATGGAGTATTGTGAGATTTTAATGGGGGTGTAGGTGCCATATTAAGTCCCACTGATAACCCTAGGTTCAGCTCTGTTTCCATCGAAGCTTTTACACAGTAATTCACAGCACAAACTATCCTGTGGGGAGCCTCACAGTGTATGAACTTGGTGATCACAGATACAGTCAGCAGCCCTTCCTTTGACTGTATCAGATCTTCCATCTGGCATAATCACAAGAGGAACTAACATACTTGATAATCACAATTCATAAACTAAAATACTTGATAGTGAAGAGGAGAGACTGTTAGGGAAAATAATCCCAGGTCCCTGGGCTGGATGTGGACTGACAAGAGACCAGCCCAACTGGTAAAGACAAAAGCTTGCACTTTGTTCTAATTTATTCACTAAGCAACAAAAATGAGATAACAGAACAGCATAAGACCAAAACACTTTATAACATTTCAATATTCAGCACAGAATATTTCAACACAAACCCAATACTAAAAATAGTGCAGTTGTATGAAATTCAGAGCGCTCCGGACTGGTCTGTTGATGGCTAGCCCCAAGGAGACAAATCTCTAACAATTTATACCCTCTGGATTCATAGGTTCAATCAAAATGACTGATGTAAGGCTAACACATTTTAACAGAAGAATATCTCTAGTACAATTTTACTCTGAACTCATATCCTAGAGATAGTCAAGTATGTTACGTGTCAGATAAACATTCATGGATATCATATCAAGGATCCTTCTAAGAATCTAAGAGCCTTCAGCAGATGAACTAACTGGGAAGTACAGCACATAGCTGTGACCCCTGTTTTAAGAGCATTATTGGTAGATCATGCACTACAGACCTGCACCCGAGGGGAAAAAAACATTGCAGAAAACCATGGGAACCAGAGAAGGAAATGATAACCATAAAAAAATGTAAACTATTCTTTTATACATAGGAAGGCCATAGACTGTTAGGGAAGAATTAATCCCTGGTCCCTGCGCTGGATATGGACTGACAAGAGACCAACCCAAGTGGTAAGAGACAAAGACAAAAGCTTGCACTTTGTTCTAATCTATTCGCTAAGCAACAAAAAGGAGATAACAGAACAGCATAAGACCAAAACACTTTATAACATTTCAATATTCAGCACAGAATATTTCAACACAAACCCAATACTAAAAATAGTGCATTTGTATGAAACTCAGAGCGCTCTGGATTGGTCACCAAGGCATCACAAGGAGCTATTGATGGCCAGCCCAGAGGAGACAAATCTTTAACAATTTATACCCTCTGGACCCATAGGTTCAATCAAAATGACTGACATAAGGCTAGCACATTTTAACAGAAGAATATATCTTAAAGATTTTACTCTGAACTCATACCATAGATAAGAAAGGATGTTATGTGTCAGATAAAGAGTCATAGTTAACATGTCAAGGCTCATTCTGAGAATCTAGGAGCCTTCAGCAGATTGTTTTGACGACATGGGAGAACAGCATATAGCTGCAACCCCTGAGTCAACAAGCATTAGCGTATACTACAGACCTTCATCCATCAAGAACACATTGTGGAAACCCATGGGTGTCTGAGAAAAAAATTATAACCATAGAAAAATGTAAACTAATCTTTTTATACAAAGGAGGTCCAAGGATACTAGGGAACAGGTCAGCCCTGGCTTACAAGAATAAAAGAAGGTAACATCAGGTATACTGCAAAGCTCTATGGGAGAATGAACCAAAGAGGCATAATTCAGACCGCCATACAGAAATGCACCCAGGCTTGCTTAAATTTCCGCTTATATTTCAAGAGGCTTGACCTCTCCATAGCAGTGGGTGAAGTATGTAAGTGATTAATACCAAAAGTTAAACACTTTAAACTTACATATACATTTCTAACAGTAAACATTCAACAGTCTATATACACCAAGTGTGTGAGCAAAACTCAGACTTTAGGTTGTTCTGGAGAGTACATCAGCTATGATATTAGCTTTACCTTTAATATGTACAGTGTTAAAATTAAAATCTTAGAGTTGCAGACTCCATTGAATCAATTTGCTAATGGTGTTTACTTGGTTTAACCAGTATAGTGGTGAGTGATCCGTGCACAGAGTAATTTTCTCCCCCATAGGTAGGGTTTTAGTTTACCTGCGGCCCACACAATAGCTAAACACACTGTTTTGATCACAGAACGATGTTCTCTTTCTACCAATTTTCTACTGAGGTATAGGATGGGGTGTTCTTGTCCGCCTTCGCACACTGACTCAACATGGTCCCTATACCTATATTTGAAGCATCGGTGGCTCAATGCTGGCTCTGTAGTCAAAACAGATTTAAGGTGGTCAAATGCCTTTTGGCACCAGTGAGTGCTCCCTTCTCATATATATCCTACTAAATGTAGCTTGCCAGCATAGATGAAATTCCCAGGCTGTTGTGGGAAGATCCCTCTTCAGAGATCTCAGGCTGGAAAGGTAACAGATCCCCTGCAGTCCCAGTATTCCTGCTACTTGTGCTACTTGGTGGATTGCTTCATGCTGGAAAATTGACCCTCTGTTACGAGGGCAACTTTATGTACTAGACCTGGACTATCAGGCTGTTTTCGTGCAGACAATTTGGTCTCAACGGGAGGAGGATTTTGGAGTATCCACACCTCACTTTCCATGGACATGCCCCTTCCTGTGGTTTTGTCTGTTGTTTCTGGAACTTGGCTTTGCTCCAGTCTTTCTGGAAACACCTGAGTTCAACCAAATTTCACCATCAAAACAGGCGATTACTGACTAATCTCTGTTGTATCTCTTGAGACCTGTTCCAAATGAAAAATGGCTTCCCTGGATGTACTGGGAATATAAGAACGGGGAACCAAGGGTAGGGATAATTGTATATTTCTCACAACAGAGTGAGATACTCAGTACTGTGCCCAAAGGGACTGGTACTATTTAACATTCAGATATAATCTGTTGTCAGGAGTATCTTCCCAAATTAAGTGAATGGCAAACAAAATGGAAATTAAGTTGTGTAAGCATAAAGGGTAAAAAGTCTCTCCCCCTAACTTCACATGGATTTCAAATAACAAAAAATATTGGAAGAAGTTTTGCTCTTGCATCCAAGTAGAGAATCTGGACTAAACAATTTTAAAAGGCTTCGTGTATGCAAACTGTTGAGCAGCAGAGTTCTCCGGGATTTATTTATTAAAGGCTGTTTATCAACCTTTAAATCTATCTTTTATTGAAAAAAGGAATAGTTCTCTTTATTATGTTAGACAGTAAGAAATACAGGTGTGTGAAAGTTAACCCTACAATAATTGTAAAAATCAGTGCTAAAATGGTCAAAGTCCCTAACATTGCTTAATCATATTATGGTGAATAATATTTTAAAAAGCAAATGTGGTTTCAGGTTTTTGTCTCATTGCTCTTGGGGATTATCAAACAACCCAAGTCACACACATCCAGAAATCTCACCCAATCCTCTTCAGAGACTTCCATCTATAGAAATCTGATTTGCTTATCACAGTAGTGCATATTTATAGAAAAATAGCAATCTTTTTCTAAATCTCTATCTTAATCAGATGATTACTCCCTAGATAAATGACTGATTCTTAACTAGATATGAGATCGTCAGCTGAAGTACAAATGTGCCAATCAGCAAGTGCACATGAATTACATCTGATATAGTAAGATGAAGTTCAATCTCAGTTCTTAACCTCTATTAAAGAGCAGTCTTTTCGGTGACTGTTTCAATTAACTGTCAAAGATTAAAGTAACTTTAAACAGAGTTTACTGACTGCATGAACTGTTGAAGACTGCATGAACTGTCGGTTAATATGCAGAATCAGCAGAAGGAAAAAGCTGGTTGTAACAGCTACCGGTACAGAAATTAAGCAAACTCCAGAGCACGATGAAAGACAGGAGGGCCTGGCGTGATGTGGTCCATGGAGTTGCAAAGAGTCAGACTCGACTGTGCGACTGAACAACAGACTGAACAACAACAACTGTTACAGAAGCTGAACAGTTAACCCTAACCCTCTATGCACCTGAGGCCAATCAAGGCTGCACATGCTTGTAATTTGCATTTGATTGAAGGAACAGTAGTGGGTGAATAAACCCTTGTGGGGGCATGTTTACAAAATTATGCATGATTTGGATAGCACAGATTTCTTTTTCCCTAACCCTTAACATAATATACTAGGCTGTAACCTCAGAATACTCAAAAGAAAGTAGTTCTCACAGTACATAATTAATCCGTGAAGTTTTATCAAAGAAAGTCCATAATAGCTAAATAGATGATGGATATGAAAGGGAATTAGACACATTATTGAAATCCTGATAACAGCTATAAACTGCTATAGTTAAGTGGAACCTTCAGGTCAAGAGGCACTGTACTTGTAGCTACCAGTTACTAAGAGTCATATAATAGAGGAGGATTGTTGCCATTATGCCCTGCATATTGGCTTCCTGGAGGTATTTGGGTGGCCACTATTGGAAAAATATCCTGGGGGAAAAGGACCTTTGGCCTGGTCCAATGGAGCTGTACTAGTGAGCTCTACTTCACTCTCATCTAGAAGGTCTGCTGTAATGGGCCTGGGTTCAGTTGAACTGTTGAAATATTCTTCTTCTTTCCATTCTTTCCCTTTCATAGTAAAAGTCACCCTTGATCCAGACACGGCTCACTCCAGTCTTAATGTATCTGCTGATCAGAAAATTCTGAGACGGGGATGTGGTGAATCGGAGTTGTATCCTCAGCGTTTTACAGAAGCTTCATGTGTCCTGGGCTGTGAGGGATTTGCTTCAGGGAGACATTACTGGGAGGTGAAGGTAGGAGAGGAGGCATCTTGGGCTGTGGGGGTAGCTAGAGAATCTGTGGATAGGAAGGAAGAACTCAAGCTAAATTCAAAAGAGGGTATATGGGTTATGAGAAAGGAACCAAAGTTCTGGATAGAGCCTGCACGTTTAAGTGCAGGTGGCCTCACTTTAAACTCTGTTATTCCTAAAACAGTTGGTGTTTTTCTGGACTACAGATTAAAGAGGGTGATGTTCTTTGATGCTATTCAAGGAACGGCTCTGTACACTTTCCGTTCATGCTCTTTTAAATATGAAAAAATCCGTCCTTTCTTTTGGTTGGGGAAGCCATCATGGAATTGTAAGGCTAAGGAGGAATGTTATATTCAATGAAAAAAGGAATAGTTCTCTTTATTATGTGAGACCGTAAGAAATACAGGTGTGTGAAAATTAATCCTACAATAATTGTAAAAATCAGTACTAAAATGGTCAAAGTCCCTAACATTGCTTAATCATATTATGGTGAATAATATTTTAAAAAGCAAACGTGGTTCCAGGTTTTTGTCTCACTGCTCTTAGGGATTATCAAACAACCCAAATCACACACATCCAGAAATCTCGCCCAATCCTCTTCAGAGACTTCCATCTATAGAAATCTGATTTGCTTATCACAGTAGTGCGTATTTATAGAAAAATATCAATATTTTTCTAAATCTCTATCTTAATCAGATGATTACTCCCTAGATAAATGACTGATTCTTAACTAGATATGAGATCGTCAGCTGAAGTACAAATGTGCCAATCAGCAAGTGCACATGAATTACATCTGATATAGTAAGATGAAGTTCAATCTCAGTTCTTAACCTCTATTAAAGAGCAGTCTTTTCGGTGACTGTTTCAATTAACTGTCAAAGATTAAAGTAACTTTAAACAAACAGAGTTTACTGACAGTTGAAGACTGCATGAACTGCCGGTTAACATGCAGAATCAGCAGGA